TTTAAAAGGTGTAGGACATTGAGAGCTGTCAGTTCAACACTTAAAATACCGCTAAATGGGAGATACCTCCTTTTGCTGCTTTTTCCCCACTTTAGCAATGCTTTTCAACTGGCAACTTGGCAATTATCCCCTGGCAACTGTGCACAAATTAGCCTATGTGCCATTTCATCTTGTCAGTTTCTCTGTCTGTTATTTTCTTCCCTTTGCAGCTTCTTCTGAGAACTGAAACAGACAACAGAATCAACTAGGCAAGAGTCCACATATAGGACAGCCCTTAAGAGTGCACTTGCAATAGACCAAAATAACTGGTTCCCCCCCCCCCCCCCCCCGATGTAGTGTGTAATTTTCAAGGAACAAAGATGTAGAAAGACAAAAACTAGCACAATTGTGTTTTTAAGGCTTAGGGTAGTGAACAGAGTGGGGAGTGGGAGACAAGACAGTTTCTGTTGTGAAGGACACTGGAATGCATGCTGGAGCTGGCTGGAAGACTGAAGGGGAGAGGAAAAAGGGGAACAGCCCATGGTAAGCCCAGTCATTAAGTGTACTGTGGGTTGTTTTGTGAAAAACCAACATAACATGCCTGTTTTTTATTTATATCCTGCCTTTTTCCTACAAAGGGCTCAAGGCAGCTTACACCATTCTCCTCCTCCATCTTATCCCCACAACAACAACCCTGTGAGGTAGGTTGGGCTGAGAGTCTGTGACTGGCCCAAAGTCACCCAGTTGGCTCCATGGCTGAGCGGGGACTAGAACCCGGATCATCTGAGTCCCAGTCCCATGCTCTTAACCACTGTACCACACTGGCTCTCATGTATATTTAATCATGTGTACGTTCAGGCAGAGTAGAAAAAGTACTCTATAAACCAAATCTGGACAAACAATGATAATGTATCCTGTGTTTCTTTCTTCAAAACTTTTGATAATAAATTATATTCATAGAAGAAAGACCAATTATATGTGACTCTGCATTGTGAAACAATGATTTTCTTGCACAAATTTAATCAACACATGAGGTCCTATTTTATTACAAATTACTACAATTAGTAATTGATTTGGAATCACCAGGTTAATTTTCTGTAGGTCTATTAGATATCTGGGAGTTAATTTGGATTTCAAATTTAAGTCTCAATCATGTCTTGTGCTTGTGCTTGGCCTCTAGGATGGCCTGGTATCTGCTTTTGCAGGAGAGAGTCTTCTATTTGAAGGATGGCTGGAGGATCATTCTTTATATAAAGGCATTTGAAAAGCTGTACTATTCAATTCTCCTTTCTTGTTTGCTTGTTTTTTAAAATGCTATATAAAACTATGGTTCATCAACAGCAATCCAGGCAGCAGAGTGAACTGGCAGGCATAGTGAATCATACTTCTGGTCACTGCAAGTAAAAAACATACTACAGAGTGGGAAAAATGCTAAAAAGGGCAACTAAAATGATCAAGGGGCTGGAACAACTTTCCTGTGAAGAAAGGTGATATCAGCTGGAATTATTTAGGTTAGAAACAAGAAGAGTAAGGGGAGACATGATAGAGTACAGAAATATGCATGGTGTGGAAAAATGGATAAGGAGATATTTTTCTCTTATAATAGTATAACCTGTATGAAGGTTCTAATATTAGATCAGATAGATTCTGGACCAATAAAAGGATGTGCTTCTTCACACAGCACATACATAAAAGTATGGAATTCACTTCCACAACATGTGATGATGGGCAGCACTTTAGATAGCTCTAGAAAGGAACTGGACAAATTCATGGATGATAAAGCTGCCAGTGTCTACTAATTATGATGGCAAGATGCTACCTCCTATTAGGAGCAATAGCTCTGTGTACATTAGTTGCTGGAAAAGATGGGTTGGAGAGTGCTGTTTCTCTCATGTCTTGCCTGTGGGTTTCCTGTAGGTATCTGGTTGGTCACTGTATGAACAGAAAATGGGACAAGAAGGACTCTTGGTTTGGTAGAGTATGTCTCTTCTTCTGCTCTTATCACCTGGCAATATGCTGAGAGGTGCTGTTTATAAAAAGTATAATACTTCAGAGTATAAATACATATAAATTAGCATTTGCAATTTATTAAAAGGGATTTCTCAACTGCATTTTACACAGGGCCCATTTCTTTTTCTTTTTGAGACCCTAATACAGACTTCCCAGAAGTCTTGGACTTCAACTCCAATCTGCCTTTGCAAACATTGGCTGTGGTTTGGCACCCTGGAAGTTGTCGTCCAAAGCATCTTGGTAGTCATGAAGTGAGAGAAGTTGCCTTCGTCTATTGAAAAATCCAGCCCTGATGTTATATATTTGCATAACAACTGCAACAAATGATTGCACTTTGCAACCATGAGAGCTTGAATGCTTTTAAAAACACATACCAAAAACTGGATAAGTTTTGGTTTTCAATGAATCACAGGGTCACAAAAAGAACAGTACAGTTGTTGAGTGCTTTCCCTTACCTTTAGAGCTTTACTCCCAAATATGGTTATTAACAAAATCTGGTAACAGATCAAAATACTGTGAAAAGCTAGGTTTTTCTTGCATGAAATTTGGAATACATTGTACAACCATCAGTTTAGCTGTGCTGGTTGTTCCAAATATGTGTCAGGAAAGGTTTTATATCACATCATTCTACATTGCTCTGGTGTGTCTCATATTTATAGATAAAGCATGTTAATAAAAGTGCATTTAGCATTCATCCTGTAAAAGCCAGGTGTTTTGGCTTTGAGGTGTAAGAGATTAAGATACTATAAACAATAAATCATGACAAATAAAGAAAAAAAGCATTATTTGAATTTGAATTTTACAACTCATCACACTAGAGATTAAAGACTTGCGTTTGAAGTCTCAGTGGCAAAAGGGGAAAATTTCTAGTCGGATAAAAATGCCAAATTTATCTCTGATGGTTCTTAAGATGCTGGGTTGTAAAACTGCTACACAGAGAATGCTTGCCAGAGAAGACCAATGTGATTTTATAGGAAGGCAGTACTTACGGGTTCTTTAATTAGAAGTTTGGGTGTCACTGATATGTAGGTGAAGTTGTATGCTGACAAGGTGCAAGTATATTTGAAATAAATTCATCCCAGCATATACTGGTGCTATTTTATTGTATTCCTCCAGTGTTTGTGTGAGAGACGGACAGAGAAAGACAGTGCGAGCGAGCGCTTATCATGGGTGCATATTCAGGCAAAGATATCTTTTGGATCTGTATTCTCTGGCTTTTTGGCTATGAAACAAATTTTGCCACATCCTTTATTTTCTCAGCTAAATCCCTTTTACAAAACAGTGCTTAGGGAGGTTTTGATCAAATGCTTGTAATGACATGTTATAAAAATGAATACATAAACAGTGGTGCTAGTAAAAACAAAAATATAGTTGGTTTAATCTCATTAATATATGGATCAGTTTATAAGTTGTAAGTTTCTGGTAAGTTGTGAGGGAGCAAGAATTGTGCTTTCTGTTCACACATGAATCATCCCTGTCTCATGAGATTCCATGTGTGTATAACGTTTTAATGTAAAATACAGGTATACCTGTTAATGCATGTAGTTCTTCACAGTGCAGTCCATCTATCACATACAATCCCCAAGTTGTGTGCATTATGGCCTTGTGTGGATGGATGCACCAGGTAGATAGAGCAGGAAAGTGAGAACTTGTTTCTCCATCACATGTGAGGAGGTTGTCCAGTCTGCTTGTTGTTATGAGCAAGTGTCAAATGACAAAAATCACATGTACTGATAAGGTAAAATAAAGAGCAAGTTAAATCTTGTATTTTTTAATATATATTTTATTTTCTTAATGTGAACTAATAGAGAAAAAAATATGTAAAACAAAGTAAACTAAAATAGATAACCTAAAATGATCAAATCTTCTATTTTCTTATTATTGATAAAGTCATTTTTTATTCAGCTTTATTGGCACATGGCATTTCCTGCCATTCCTCTTTTGCTTTCCATTACTCTTTGTTTTTTCTTCTTTCCTCTCTTGTCCTAAACCTATGAGAGAGAGATGGGCATATTTTCTGTTCTTCTTGGAAAGAAGACAGCATTCCCATTTGTTTAGTTTGGAAAGTTTATATGTGACACATAAATGTGTTAAGGTTGGTATAGGAATTGTGGTATATCTTCCTACAAATTCTAAAATTTGATTTATAAAGTTTCAAACCTACATTTTACCCACTCACTATTAGCATGAGAAGCATCCTGAAAGATTACAGAAACAAAAACCTTTCAGCAGGTGAAAAGAAAGCAAGCAGGTACATATCCCTAATACAGTGTCTTGTGTTACTTACACACACACACACACACACACACACACACACACACACAGAGAGAGAGAGAGAGAGAGAGAGAGAGAGAGAGAGAGAGAGAATGAATATGTTTATGAGTTGGGGTGAGTTGAAAAAGGACTTCTGCAGCTACAGTAGGATGTATCTGTGATACACCTTCACCTCAGGATTCTGCTACTTACTTCTACTGTATGTATCAGTCAGGAAGACTATTAGTTGGTATTTCATCATGCAATAGACTGAAAACCTCTATTCAGTGGGGAAAAAGTGTGCCTCATCATGATCTTTTCAGCTAGAAAATGGCCTACCATTTTTTTCCACAGAAGTTGAGCAGAATCCCCAAACTTCTTGATTGATGTGATTCAGATGGACAATATATGGCTAAAAAAATCAGGAAATAGCTAATGCTTATGTTTTACCTGCATTTCTTATTGAATGCATGGACTGAAGTTAATGAGGTGCTTGCCATTTCAGAAAAATGGCTCTAGTGAGAGTGGGTTTTCCTTTATGAGAGAAACTACTTCTGTACAAGGTGCTGCTGCTTTTCTGCTCTCCAAGAGAAAGCATTTAAAAGGGTTTTCTAGTGCTGTTAATATGCAGGGCAGGGAGCTGATGTGCCTAAGAACTCAAATCATTCCATGCTTGTGGAGGTTAACAAACATTGCATTTTGCATGAAATGCTTAAATTCTTTGCCACTTAGTGATGACAAATGAAACTGTGTTGCAGGCCTCCCTCTTTTCAAGATTCGGCAGACTCTTCCACTCCATGCATGAATGGGAGCCACACTACTCAGCATATAAAACAGGAATGCCCGTGCGACTATAAGGGCCTTTCTGATGTTTCCACGCACAGAGGGATTACTGAAGGAATGGAGCTGAGAGGCTCAGGCAGTCTTCATCCTGAAATAGACCTAATGAACAACGGCCTTACAAATTCACTTTCATCGTACTTGTTTAATAATGAACACGGCTCCTCCCTGGGTTCATTGTCACTCAACAGTCCTCAACATTCAAGCAGGCATCAGGCAAACAACCTGAAGAAGAGATGCATCTCCATGCTGCCGTCCTCTGCTGAGGGGATTGATATTACAACAATCATTCGCACTTCACAGACATCACTGGTTACCTGCATGAATGGTCTGCGAACTAATTCAGCTGGGATTTCCTCTTCTCCTGGGGAGATCACTCTGCACAGTGCTCAGAAACCCTCTCGGCCCCTGTCTTCCTCCCATCCTGGGAACCGCTGCCATCTTTCTTCTCCTTCAGTATGCCTTCTACCTGTTTCCACTGAAATTGTCCAAGGGGACTGTGATCATCTGCAAATGCAGCAAGCAGGAGAAAATGCAAGCCTTCGCCTTATAATGAACAGTCATAGTACTCAGCAGGATGCTCCACATAGTAACCAGAAGCTGAATTTTTTAAAGCAAGAACCACTTGATGAATATTCTTCTGCCTCTGATCTTTTTCAGCATCATCAAGAGCTGCCACCACCTTATCATTTACACCAGCAGCAAAGCCAGACTCAAGGGACACTTTCTCATTTACATGCCTCCATGTCTCCAAAGTCTCTCCAGATGAGTGAAGGTGATGAGCAGGAGACCAGCAGTGGAAAACAGGCCTGTCGGTGGATTGACTGTAGTGCTGCCTACGAGCAACAAGATGAACTGGTGCGGCACATTGAAAAAACACATATTGATCAAAGAAAAGGGGAGGACTTCACTTGCTTCTGGACAGGTTGCGTCCGTCGGTACAAGCCTTTCAATGCTCGTTATAAGCTTCTCATCCATATGAGGGTTCATTCTGGGGAAAAACCAAACAAGTGTATGGTAAGTGTTCACTGTATTTATTTGGCTAGAAATATGCTGAGGCCTGCACTTCCCCTCCTTTTTCAAGTATTCTTCCTATGTAGTTAGCATATTTTCCTGTAGCTTATTCTGTGATATTTCCAAGTGGAATTTGAGTATAAACATATATCGAGTTCTTTGCACTGTTTCTACTTGCATAGTATCTTTCCAACACAGTTGTGTTGTTTTACTGCAATGTAGTATGTGATTCTTTCATGAGGTTGATGGGGGGGAGGAGTGTTTTGGTTATAAATGGTGTAATGTTAGTGAATAATATTTTGCTGACCTCAGCAAAAGCTTAACTTTTAGTTCAATGGTTTGTTTTTGAAATTGCCATTGAAACATTACTAAGATGATCAAAGCAGCCTGCGGCAATTTAATGTAAAGGAGGGTCACTTTGCCTCGGGTGACATTTTAGATCGGGAAACATGAGGCACACTTAATGAAAATTCTTTTCATTCTGCATTTTAAGCAGTATTCCACTGGAGCAGAAGCCTTTGAAATGATAGATGGCAGAAAAGGAAGAGAATCCTAGTAATTATTATTAACAGTTAAAGCTGAACATGTAATACAACTTTTAGGATGGCTTTCATTTAACACTTAAAAAAAAACCTTCAGAGTTTTGAGAAGAGGACCAGTAAAGCTGTTCTCCTCTGATCAGGCAGATCTAAGCTAATAAGAATTCCAAAGGAACATCTTGGGAACAGTATTGGCTCTGCTTGTATTATCACAATAATGTGAGCAATTAAAATAAACGCTAATGACTTGCAGTTGGCTTTCCACATGCTGAAAGCAGCAATAATATGAAACCCTGAACAGAAGAGATAACAACGAGGCAAGATTGGTCAGAGCTTCCAAACCCAGCTGTGAAATATGAAACTTTTGTTTGCAACTCAAATGTATTTCTTACAAAGGAATAACCACACCAGCAGATTGGGTTGCCTCATTGAAATGTCAGGAAGAAGGAGCGCTTTGGAGATTTGATGTTTGTTCACTGTAGCACAGCGGAGATGTTCTCTGAAAAGGGAACACCCACTATGTGAAGTTCTGGAATGAGATGCACTCGCTTCAAACTAAGATGTCCCTTTAAAGTGAAGAGACATATAGTAATGTTACAGCAAGTGAAGTAGTAGTGTTGGGCCTATTTTATTTCCAAATACAGTTCTTACTGAGCATTCTTCGGATGAAGCACAGTATAGATCTGGATGGACTTTATTATTATGTGAATATAAGTTGATGTGTTGTCACATCCTTACTTTATGTATCTGTTTCTTGTATATCCAAATATACATCAAGTGTTTTATAATGAAGCAAAATAATATACAGAAAAACAGATGTTTAGCATATGGTTTCTCCTATACATAGGGCATTCTTTATGTTTCATTTTATACATTATGTGTATGTATTTATGTGTATTCTATTTCTAAACACTCCTTGAAAGGACATTTATTTTTTAAATTATGAAATAGGAATTTTGTCTTAATATTTTATTTTCTCTCATTCCGTTATGTTTCTGATGGCTTTTGAATCTTTCCATTGAGTTAAGATTGCTAGGTGTTGTCATTTATTTAATCAACTATATTCAGTTTATCTATTATATGGTAATGTAGAAAAAGAAGACACATTTTCCCCAAAAAGTATATTATTGAGATGCTAGTTAAGAAAGAAAATAATAATAATAATAATAATAATAATAATAATAATAATGATTTTAAACAATCACCCGCTAATACTTAAATAGCACCAATAACTTCTGCAGAAACAGGAGAAGGCCATCCAGAATTGAAACTACTAGTTTTAGTTGTGTCTTACAGATTTTAAATTATGCTATATTCTTGAGAGTTAGAAATTTGAGACTATGAAAATGTCTGGATTATTCAGAGTTGGCTGTGTAATTTTGTATGTTGCCAGTCTAACTCTCTCTCTCCCTCTTTCTCATATGTTTGTTTTAAAACTAGAGAAGCTTGGCTTTTTACAGCAATGAAAGATGTGGTATAGAGGCTAGATTTACTCTACACGAAGAGGTATTCTCTCTAGATATTCTTTGAAGTGTGTACTTGACAGCTATTGTATGGCAGTTTCCTAATGTTACCTTCTCAGTCAGCATTTCACAGAAACCAGTTCTTGTAATTCAGGTTAAGGAATGCTATGCGGGTACTATCCTGATGTCATTATGTTAATCTGTATGAAATAATAGCTAATATTGGAAGAATTTCATGTTGTAAATTGGAATGTAAACCACTATGAATTGTGAACTGGACCATGGATCTTTGATTGTGCTATCCAGGTATTACTGCCTTTTCATTTAGTGAGAAAGAAGATTCTTTGTACAGGAATCAGTGAATTATTATGAATGTGTCTCAAGAAGAAATAAGAACTTAGTATTACAAAACCCACTGTCAGGATCTAGTTTTATACTGACTGGAAAAAGTATGGGTAAGACTGCGAACAGCTACTTTCATGTAGAAAAAGTGCATTTATTTGAAATAGATAATGAAGCATCAGAATCTTGAATTCAGGCTGTAGTTTATTGCAATATTCATTTTAAAATGTTAGAAGTTTAGAATTTTTTTTGGTTCTGGGTTCACATCTTTGAGGTTAGTAATAACCAGGGGTATATTTATTGCAGACTAAAATGTTAGGCCTGTCCTAGGTCTATATATAATTATTTTGATGATGATTTTAAAAGATCAGTTATTTTCAGATATGCTCAAAAACAACCAATCCAAAGAGGGAATTATTTTGCATATTTTGACATTCTGAATTCATTTAAAATAATGAGGTGATTTGTTTTTTTAGAACCTACATTTCTAACAGTTTGTTGAGTTGTTGTTTTTTTCCTATAAGTTTCCTTTTTGCCTCCAGTGCCCTTCCAGAGGACATTTCTGCTTTCTTTGAATTTGCGTATCTTTCCAGTCTGTTCAGCAAAATTTGTTGGCTAAATGTGCTTTGAATGTGTTCAGGGGAGGCTGGCAACAAGTAGCTCCCTGTCTGTATGCATAAAAGCTCCCGTCCATGTAAAATTATTAATTTCTTATGACAGGCTTTGCTACTACATAATGTAATAGACAAAGGAATTTTGGAATTCAGGCTACTTGAGAACAGGAAATACATGAGACATTTTGATTGAAAAGTAAATGGTCCACTAAAATGGCAGTTAATCCTTTTATTATCTTTCCAACAGCAGTTTCCACAATATACTTTCATGAGGTAAGCTTCCCTTCAGTCCAACTGTAACACTCATCATTACAGCTGGTTTAAATTTAGCCAGTGTGCTCTCTTCTCAGCAACAGACAGTGGAAAGGCAAAATTCTATGTGTTGTAAAGGAATTAGTAATATTTTTGGGTTCTTTCTTGTGTGTTGATGCCAAAATGTATGAGTACTTTTTATTTTCTGTTAAATATTCTAATTACTTGATTCCTTCTCTACATCACATCCTTTCATTTGTGTGGGGCTTTGTTTTGTTTCTGTTCTTGTTTTCTTTATTCTTTGGGCTGTCTAAGTAGTCTGAAGGAAACTACTTAATCTCTTTGCAATATCCTGTTATGTTTCATACTTAACTTGTGTTATTTTAGTTTTATTAAATTTAGTGCTCATCTGCGTTATGATCAAAAATATATCCAACAAAAATAATGATGCAATGCCTTTAAGACCTGAACTTTTGAAGATTAATGTCATGCTTTTATAGATTTGATGTCCCAGACAATTGGGATTTTGATTGTCTGAGAGCAGAAATTAGGGGGCTTAAATGTTTTCAATTTTTGAAAAAATCCCCAAGGAAGATTTCTTATTATCTTTTTGCCCCATTTGGAGTAATAATGGATAGTGATCCCAATATTGTACAATAATATTTAAGCCTGCTTGCAAATACATGTAAATATGTTGTTTCAATTGGGAATGGTGGTTTGTGCCTTGTTTGTTTTGTCTTCTCAGTATTTGCCATTCTAAGTCAAATATTAGGCTATCCATCTTTTCTATCTCTGTCTCAACAGTCTGATGAAAACATTGTTTTTAAACGTGTGTTTATAATATCCATAAAATTCAGCTTCTAATCCAAAGGCGCTGATGAAAATCATGAAATGGTAAAGAAGACATGTGTTGGTGTTTGGCAGATGGAATTTTATTAATTTACAGCTGAATGATATTGTTGCTATGAGCTGTCAAGTTTCATCCAACTTTTGGTGACCCTATGAATGAATGCCCTTCAGTATACTGTGTCCTTCACAGACCTAAGCTCTTGTTACCTCCAGGCTGTGACTTCCCGTATGGAATCTACAGCTGGATGTTCATATAGAAACTTCACAAGTGTAGATGGATGATCAATTTGTGAAGATCTCTGTTATGAAGATCTCTGTTTCCTGTTGGATTGCTTTATTGTGGTTCTTTCAGTATTATTCTAGGCTAGAGATGAATGAATCAGTTTATTTTCAATCTATGTGAGTTCCTCATGTGTCCAAGCCTAACTATGTCCCATCCAGTTTCTATATTACTGCACAATTTCTGGAAAATTCACAAAAACTCATATTTAATTGCATAAACAAGTTTTCTCTGTATGCATTTTACATGCGTTTGCGTCAAGAATTACATCACAACATTCAGAGAAAAACGCAATCCAAAGGATTGCTGTTATGACCTACATATTAGTCCCTTAACTGTGAATTGGGTAAGTTTACTTATGTGGACCAAAGAAAATTGTCCCCTATCCTTACCCTCGGACTAGCTGCATAAGACCTGCTTTTGAAGGAGGGGACCTCCAAGTGTTCAATAAGATTTAAATCACGTGACTGCTTCACTGGGGCTGATCATTCTTATTTTTCTATTTATTTGGCCACAGAATTAATGGTCCTTGGCCTAGGTCTGCTTGGTGCAGTTGGCACTTCTGTTGATATTTGGAATGCAGGGATTATTCTGGTGATTGACATGATGGCTTCTAGGCATGATCTCCCAGGTTACAGATTCTGTAATAAGTGGTGGATTATAA